GCATGGACGACGCTTTTGACAGGCTCGACAACGCAGAGACACAGCGCCTCCTGCACACGTTTGTGGATGTGTTCACGGCCGCTGTGCCGGCCTGCGGTAGCGATGGCGACCAGGATGGCGATGGTGCAAACACCTTGTCCGCTGCTGGTGCTGGTGCGACGCGTGCAAACGGCAGCGAAGAAGCGGTTGGTGACATCGGCGACATGCCTGCAGGCACCGCGGCTGCACCCGCATTTGGCGAGGATGAGGACGCAGAATCGTCAGTGCCGTTGCGGCAACGACTGATGGCGCTGCTGAAACAAAAACGCTCAGCGTTTGCATATGTTCAGCAGCTCATGACACTCGCTGTCGTGTCGGATGTGGTGCTCTCACCTTCGCCTTCCTCATCGTCAGCGTCATCTTCAGCATCGTCGTCGACCTTGCCTTCTTCGTCTATTTCTTCCAAGCACCCGTCCACATCATCAGCGACAACAGCACCACATCACCGCGACAGCAACTACACCAGCAACCACAACGCCAACGATAACAACGTCAACAACAACAGCGGTGACCCCATGCGTTGCATGCAGGCATTTCTGCGCGGATACGGCGATTTGGTGGACATGGAGACGGTTGCCGTGCATTTGAACAGGCGCCACTGGCGGCCATGCATCCACAGCCTGACGAATTTCATTTCGGACGCGAGCGAGCAGCGTGACGCCCTTGACCGCGTGGTCAAACAGATGCTGGACGACCAGGTCATCCCCGCCGCACGTGCCATGCTGGCGCAGGTGTCCACCCCAATCCTCCTCGAATTCCTCAAAGACCTGTGCGCCATTGACGTCCGGCGGTTTGTTCCGCTCTGCGTCGAGTCGTACCCGCGCATTCTGCCGCACAACGTCGAGGAGGCCCTCACCGCCAGTATTGATGACTCGCTCGCCCTCACGCGCACGTGGTACCGCTACCTGTCGTGCATTGTACAGGCGCCCGCCTTTGAAAACGCCATGACACGCGAGCGGCGCACGCTGCGAGAGTACCTCAACCTCTCTCTCGCCCTGTACTGTACCGACGAGGACAACAACAACAGCGCTGGACATGATGATGCTGCTGGGAACCGTGATGGTGATGCGAGTGTCGGTGATGCGAGTGAGCACGGCCAAAGCAGCAGCAGCAGCAGCAGCGGTGGCGCTGGCAGCGACAGCGTTGAGTGTGCTGGCGGCGCTCGTGTCCGCGAGTCCAATGCGTTCTGCTCGCACGTGATGGATTTCGACACAATGACGATGCGTGACCTGTCACAAGACGAAGAGGGCGTTGAGAGCAGCAGCGATCAGGGCGGTGATGGTGTCCGGGGCGGTGGCAGTGGTGATGGCTGCAAGTCCTCAACGCATGACTGGGATCGCACCAACAGCATCAGCAGGGAAGGTGGTAGCGATGTGCTGTTGCACGATGATGATGACGACGATGATGGTGGTGAAACTCAAACCAACAACAAGAAGCATGCGAGCTTGGAAGAGCTCGTGGCCATGTTTCCAGGTGAGTTGTCGCCTGAGCAGCGCGCGGCGTTGTTGCCTGCAAGCACCCCTGTCACCGCCGTGCTGTCACCGCGTGTGTGGCGCATCGTGAAACAGCAGTCATTCCTCGCGGCCGCGGGCTTTGACTTTGTCCGGGACCTGCTGTTGTGGTGCGGGTGTTGGGATGAGGCTCTACAGCTCACCCGTGACGATGACCCCACGCACGTGCGTGTGTTGCTGGCGCTGCAGCAGCAAAAGCGCGTTGTGCAGTGGCTTCGTCGTGGTGGCGACCTCGCACAGCTGTGGACGGAGTGGTGCTGCCTTCCGCCCCGCGCACGCTGGCCGGTGGAGGTGTTGTGCGCCCTCGTCGCGCGCGAGCGCGGTGTTGTTACTGCGCTCGAGATGCTGCTCGCTCTCCTGTCCTTCACAGAGCAGGCAGTACATGATGGCAGTGATGGCACTGCAGACGAAAGTGCCACTGCCGCAACAGCTACAGCCACTGAAACCAACACGCAAAACGGTGAGCCCGCTGCCACCTCGACATCGTTCGCATCATCACCATCACCATCATCGACAGCGGCAACGCTGGTGTCGTCATCAACGCCACCACCGTCCGGGTCTGCCCGCAATCGCTGTGATAGCGACATCCACCAACTGATTGGCGCCCGGTGTCGAGGTGCGTGGCGGCAGCAGATTCGCCATGAAGTGAGCGCGGCTGCGCCGGCACTGCTGACGCGTTGGCTGGCGGGACGCGACAAACTGCAGCGCGTGTTGGCGACGCAGCACATGGTGGCGACCGCTGTTGATGGACATCTTTGGACGCGCACCGCCGCCGTGATGCCGGCCCCACTCCAGCACCTCCTCAACCAGCAGCTGCTGCCACCGTCGTCGTCGTCGTCGTCATCGTCGTTATCGCCATCGCCAGCATCGTCGTCATTGCCATCGGCTGCACACGCGGGCATCGGCGGCGGTGCCAGTGGTAGCGGAGGTGGCGCGCGTGTTCGGGATGCGAGAACGGCACGACTGGTGCGCCGCCTTGGCCGTGAGCTTAACGCCGTGTCCAGCAGCACAACGCCACCGCCGTTCGGGCCGAGACTGGAATACCCGCTGCTGCACTGGGGTGTCAGCGTGCCTGCAAGCAAGATGGTCCCCGATGGCAACCCTTCATCCACCGTGTACGAGCAAGGCGTGCTGCTATCCCGCAACGGCGATGTTATTCCCAAAGTCATCCTCCCGCCGCAGGACACGTTGTAGCTTTGTGTGTGTGTGTGTGTGTGTCTGTGTCTGTGTCTGTGTCTGTGTGTGTGTGTGTCTGTGTCTGTGTGTGTGTCTGTGTGTCTGTGTGTCTGTGTGTCTGTGTGTGTGTGTGTGTGTGTGTATGTGTGGAGAGGCTTTGCCGGTACCTTAGAATCGTTGTTGCATTAGCAGTCCAAGTCATGTCACATCATTTTCACATCAATCCTGTAGAGCGTGTTCATGTGTGAGATGTGACAATGTGTGACATAGTAGACATCCTCCCATACCACGCCAGACGCAACACAAAATCACCAGGGCATGTCATACGCCCGAGTCAGTATTGCAACCATCTTGCAGCCCGCGACTACCAACCACTATGGCCGACGACAACGAGCAACGGCTCACGGATGGCGTGTCCGTGGACGCGATCAAGGCCTTCCTTGCAGACCTGAAGCGCCAGTTCCCCGACACGCACAATGAGATGACGACGGCGGATGCCTGCAAGCAGCTTGTGGTTCCCCGAACACACGGCGCCAGCTGCGCCTACGTTGATCTGTTGCGAAAGCAGTCGCCTGAAAGTGTCGGCAAGGCCACCGTGTTTGTGTCGCACGCATGGCGGTACAAGATCGCAGACGTGCTCAATGTCTTGCTCGAGTTTGCAGAGGAGCAAGCAACGAAGGACGACAGCAAGCCGGTGTTCTTCTGGTTTGACCTCTTCATGAACAACCAAAACGCCAACGTCACGGCCAACCTCCCACAAGAGTGGTGTGTGTGTGTGTGTGTGTGTGTGTGTGTGTGTGTGTGTGTGTGTGTGTGTGTGTGTGTGTGTGTGTGTGTGTGTGTGTGTGTGTGTGTGTGTGTGTGTGTTGTGTGTGTGTGTGTGTGTTTGTGTGTGTGTGTGTGTGTGTGTGTGTCTGTGGATGTGTGCAACTGTGTGTGCTTGGTACCTCTGCACCTCCCCATTTCTTGGACACACCCACCCCTTACACGCTGCCTCTCCCACCTCCCTCCACACCACAACACCCTCCCCCACCACACCCGCAGGTGGAGCACGACGTTCAAGGAGTCGATTGCCAACATTGGACGCGTGCTGCTGGTGCTCATGCCGTGGCAAGACCCTGTTCCCTTGACACGCGCGTGGTGTTTGTGGGAGATCTTCTGTGGCATCAGCAACGAGGGCACTGAGGTCGACATCCGTCTGCCCAACAGCGAGCAACAGGCACTGGAAGGCGCCATCTGTGAGAACTACAAAGCTGTCACTGACACGCTAGTGCGCGTGCAAGCGGAGCGAGCAGAAGCATTCAACCCACACGACAAGGACATGATCTTCAATGCGATTGAGTCATGGGCTGGCGGCTTTGGCGCAGTCAACCAGGCCGTCAAGGACCAGCTGCGCGCGTGGTGCTTGGACAACGCGGAGGCTGCGGTGGAGGGCATGCAGGCGCGAGGTGAAGATGACACAGAGGTGTTCGCGGCGCTGTGCAGCCAAGTTGGACTGGTGCTGCGAGAGTTCGGTGAGCACAACAAGGCCAGAGAGTACTTTGAGAAGGCAAAGGCAATCTACGTGGAGACGCTGGGGGAGAAGCACCCGAGCACGGCCGACGCGTACATCAACCTCGGCCTCACCTACGACGACAAGGGTGACTTTGACCAGGCAATAGACTTGTACCAAAAGGCGAAGCAGATCCAGGCAGAGACGTTGGGAAACAACCATCCAGGCACGGCGGCAGTCTGCAGCAGCCTTGGCAACGCATACTACGCCAAGGGCAAGTACGACAAGGCAATCGCATACTACCAGGAGGACCTTGCCATCACGTCGGAAGCGCTGGGAGAGAAACACCCGAGCGCAGCGCAGACCTACAGTAACATCGGCAACGTGTATTACGCACAGGGCGAATATGACAGCGCGATCAAGCAATACGAGAAGGCGATGGAAATCAACTTAGAGGCGCTGGGAGAGAAGCATCCGGGCACAGCCAACACCCACAACAACATCGGCAACGTGTACTTTGGCAAGGGGGAGTACGACAGGGCAATTGAGCATTTCGAGAAGGCGAGGAAGGTGTACGTGGAGACGTTGGGAGAGAAGCATCCGACCACAGCCATTGCATACAAGGGTATCGGGAATGCACTCTCCAGCAAGGGCGAGCATGACACGGCGATTGAGTACTACGCAGCAGCGAAAGCGATTCGGTTGGAAACGCTGGGTCCAACGCACCCGGATACTGCCGAGTCGTTCAGCGATTTCGGCAACGCCCACAGCGAGATTGGCGAGTACGGGGTGGCCATTGACCACCTGGAGGCAGCAAAGGAGATTCACCTGCAGACGCTGGGCGAGGAGCACCCAACCACCGCATACACCTTCAACAACCTCGCCGCCGCATATGATGACATGGGCGAGTACAGTAAGGCCATGAAGTACTACGAGAGGGCAAGGGCGATCAAGGCGGCGGTGCTGGGGGAGAAGCACTCCAGCATGGCAAGCACGTGTACGGGTCTGGGCAACTTATACAGCAAGATGGGCAAGCATGCCGAGGCGATTCAGTGCTTCGAGAAGGCGAAGGAGATCCAGGTAGCGACTTTGGGGGAGGTGCATCCGACCACAGCCCTGACACTCGAGAGCATTGGCGCGGAGTTTGCGGAGCAAGGCCGCATGGACCGGGCCCGCGTGTTCTTTGAGCAAGCGCTTGATGCCTTCACGGCTACGCTTGGCCCAGACCATCCACACACGCGCGCGGCTGAAGAAGAACTGCGGCAGGCGAGAAGAGGAAACGGTGCGCATGACTGGGGCGAAGAAGATGAAGTGCGCCAGCACCGTGGGCTGCAGCAGCCTGCCCAGTCCATGGCTGGATGGCTGCAGAAGCGAAGGCGGTGGCGAGGATCCTTTCACGCTTGTTGGGTCTTCCTTGAGGCAGGCACCCACTTGGTGTACAGCAAAGGCCCAGAAGAGACGGCTCGGCAGCGACGCATACCGCTGTCAACCGTGCGCTCCGCTGAGCTGGCTCGCGACGGAAAGGACCTGCGTGTTGCCTGTCGCGGGCGAACCTTCGTGTTTCGCCAGCACGAGTGCTCAAACGCGGCGCTTACAGATTGGTGCTCTGCCATTCAGGCCGCACTCAGCTCCAACCCCAATCAGACTGTATAACCCGTGTGTGTGTGTTGTTCATGTGTGTGCATCTGTGCATTGTGTGTGTGTGTGTGTGTGTGTGTGTTGTGTGTGGCCAATCCTTTCCTCAACCTTAACAATCACGACATCAAACAAGAGCGCTCGTTTTGAAATGACGTCATCATGTCACATCTCAGAAACTCCCCTCAACTTTTGATCTTCACACTCCCGCCCATGTCCACATCCCACAGACCTGGAGACATGTCACAAGCCAGTCGTTCACAAGCGATGGAGGACGTATGTAGGAACGACGGCCCAACCTACAAGGCCTTGATGCCATACATGAAGTTGTATCGGCCCACGGACCTGCTGCTGGCTGATGTCGAGGATTTGGTGGCACCTTTGCCAGAGCGCCTGCAGAGGCTTGCGGCCAGCTTCTTCACGCGCCACGCAGGTGCAGGTCATGTGGGAGTGGCGGATGACGACGGCGATGAGTACATGCGCAGTGGCCCCACAACCGCGACAGAAGCAGATTCTGCGGAAGTCGTTTCACCCACGTCTACGCTCAAGGCCTGGGGAACACTCGACTTGTCTGGGCGCTACACATCCTCCCGTTTCCACATCGCGCAGCTGCCGCCGGTTTCTTCTCTGCCGGAGGACGTGCGAACCAAGTGGATTGACGACATCCCAGACAACAGCGTCATGTGCCTGAATCTGGCGTTCTGCAACCTCCGTGACGAAGACATCAAGCACGTCACATCGACAGTGCAGCTGCTGGCTGATCACAAGAAGATTTACGACCGCACGGGCCTGATTGTGGTGCTTCGAGGGTCTCGGTTCTACCGCAACTTCGCTGACCTCGAGAAGCTGCTGCAAGTGTGCGAGCTGGTGGACATCTGCCTCACGCCCATGGCTTCCGTCGACAACCGCGACAACAACTTTTTGGGCTTGTTCAAGCGCGGCTTGCTTCACAAGCTGCACTTTGTCGAAGGGCGCCACAACATCGACACAGCCGTGCATAACCTGTTTGGCTCAGACCCTGAGCCTGCCGGTGCCAACACCATCCTCGCCGACATATGCTCTGAGGTGGCTTTGGTGGCGGATGCTTACAACGCCTTCAACAACCCGCCACTGCATGAAAGGACGACGACGAGACTGTGGCAGAAGGACCTGCGCCAGAGGCTGATGGAGGTGCGCCGCAAGGCTGATGCGGTTCGCGCGCAAGAAGCAATGGTGCAGGTTCGCGTCCAAGTTGCCGCTGGAAGTGTTGGTGAGGAGACCCCTTCCCTCGGCTGTCACCACGCTGCTCTCATCTTCATTCTCGGCGCTGCAACGGGAGCGCTTGCAGCAGCTGCACTACTTCGCAGATGAGTCAAGCGTTGGCAGTGGTGTCTGTCTCATTGCCCTCTGTGTGCACGCAATACCTCATTCGCTCCGTCATGTCCTGATTCCTCTCTCTTTCGCGTTGTCGCAGAAGTTTGCTGTGCTCTCGCACCCGTGCGCATCTGCCTCGCTTGGCGCGTCTCATCTCTCTTTGCGTCATGGCTGCTGTTTTTGATCCGAAACAAGCGACCATAAACGACCACATGAAGCAATCGAACATGGGAGCATGCATGTACGGGGGAGCAGGGCATGCATGTATGGGGACACGCATGGACACTGCCGCAACATCATCAGAGAGGAGCCTTGCCACATCAACAAGACAAAAGCGAATGGGTAATGTAATCACAACTAGGAGCTATAAAGCAGAAGAAGAGGGAGGAGGTGCAGGAGGAGGAGAAAGTGCATATGCAAAGTAATGCGAGGCAGAAGCAGGAGCGATAACAATGAAAGGAAGAAAAGAGGTGTCAGACTTTCGAGTCCGAAAGCAACACGGGTTGGTGCAACAGGCCACCCGACCTCAAAGTTATTGAGGGCAGAGGGCGGAGGGGGAGAAGGGGAGGGGTTCAAGAGTGTGTTTACGACCAGACGTCTTGTTGGAAGCGACGCTGCTGCGCCATTGTCTTGAGCTGCGTCTCCGCATCCTGCGTGCTCAGGTTTGTCTCCTGTGTGCAGGGCAACGTGTATGGGGTTGACATTGGTAAGCACAAGTCGATCAACGAGAGGTGGTGAAAAGAGAGAGTGTGTGTGTATGTGTGCTGTTTTTGTGTGCATGTGCATGTGCATGTGTGTGTGTGTGTTGCTGACAAGAGCATCATGCGTGTGCTGTTTGTGTGCTGTGTGTGCATATGCATGTGCATGTGTGTGTGTTGCTGACAAGAGCATCATGCGTGTGCTGTTTGTCGTGGTTCGTACCGCCTTGATAATCTCGACGAGGGCGCGGTGCACGTCACGGGCCATGTGTTTCGCATCGCTGTTCAAGACAACAAGTGACAACAGGAAAACACGGTGGTGGAGAGGTCGTGGTGAGGTTTGGTGAGCAGAAACAAACTCGCAAGACGCAGCGTCAGGCAAAATGCACGAAGTGCAAGCGAACGACACACACACACACACACACACACACACACACACACCCACACCCACACCCACACCCACACACACACAGTATCACATGGTGTGCGTTTGTATGCACGCCATCAACAGCAACAACACGCAACGCACCCGCAGACGTAAATGTGGGCACCGGCGTCAATCATCTTCCAGATGGTCTTGGCGTTGTTCTTCATCAGGTGCTGCACATACACCTTGTGTTGCTGTTGGATGGTGGGTATGTGTGTGTGGAGGAATCGTTTGGGTGATGCGTGAGAACGAGGGAGGGAGGGTCGGCACACAGGTCAGACAAAGGCCAGGCACATGCGCATACGCACACAACAACAGCAACAGCAACAACAACAGCAGCAACAACCACAACATCCCTGCAGCAACTGACCTGGTCACGGGAGAATGCCGAGTGGAGTTCGGACAGGACGCCCGATTCCAAAAACTCCTCCAGCTCCTCCCTGTACATGTAGTGCTTGTGCTCGTGCTGGCAGCCAAAGAACAGCAGCGCATCGCCAAGCGTCTTCCCCTTGGCCTTGAGGGCCTCTCGCTCCTGCAGAAACCCGCGGAAGGGCGCAACGCCCGTGCCGGGGCCAATCATGATGATCGGGATGCGGGATTTGGACGGCAGCCTGTGGTTAGGAATAGGAAAGGGGGGGGGGGCGGTATATGTTGACGGTTTTGGGAAGGTGAGAGGAAGGAAGGGGAGACGTTGGTGTAAGTTTGGGTCACGCGCGCTGCATGCACGACGGTGAGGGCGACAGGTTGTACACACACACACACACACACACGCACGCACCTGAAGGTTGATCGCCTGACAAAGACGGGGACCTTCTCATCAATGAGGTTGACATGACAGCACCTTGGCTGGAGCCGCGGCAGGAGCTCAATGAGGTGGTCGGCGGGGACGTCGACAGACTTGAAGCCTGCACACAGCAATTCGGGAACAAACCAAACGGTGAGCTGAGCGACACGATGGCAAAAGCGACAACAGAAGTATGCTGGGTAAGGGATCCGGCGGAAGAGAGTAGGGAAGGAAGCAAATGGAAGGAATGAAAGGGACGGGCAGCGTGACGAGGAAGCACGATGACACACATAACGGAGCCATCACAACGAGCACCGTCACTGCAACCAAAGTGTAGCTGGGCTGATTGTGCCCACTGCACAGCTCACAGCTCACTGTGATGTGAGCAACAGTGGACACTGAAAGAGCCGAGCCAAGAAGAAAACAACAACGCGTGTTGGTTTGCGCAACACTATGACCCCCAAGGAAACTGCACATGTACACAGCAGCGGGGGAATAGGGAGCTGTTGCGACAAAGGATGGAGAGGGGGAGGCAAGTGGGGCAAGCGGAGAAGCAGGGCAAGCGGAGAAGCGACACAACAGCACAAACAAGATACACAAGACGGCGAGTGCGGGCGTACAAGTGTACGGACGTGCGAGTCTATCGACTTAACCTTCATCATCACCATCCACGCAGTCGTGCCAACACATACAATACCACCCACACTACCACAGTTGCCAAGCAAGCAAAAGAGCTGTTGCGGTGGTGGTTGCTGTTCTCTGTCGATTCACCTCGAGGACGGTGCGGAGGTCGTCGTGGATGTACTTGACAAACTCTTGTCGGCCCTCCTTCGTCACCAGGTGGTGCAGTCGGCTCTTCTCCTCCTCATCCTGCGCATACTGCACAAGCTCCTGGATGATGTTGTGCCCGGGCAGCGCGCAGATGTCCACGTAGTGGGTTAGCGCCGTGCGGAATGTGCACGCGCATGGGAACGGCGTCTGCTTCTTTGCGTACTCGTCCGTGGCCTTGAGGTACAGCAGCTCGTCAAGCTCAATGCCGAGGCGCGCAGCCAACGCCTCCACCAGCGACGGGTTGTTCTTCGGATACACCGCCACGTGGTCGCCAGCCGTGTACCTGCGCAAATGAAGGGGAGGGGGAGGTTAGATGGGTTGGAGTTGGTGAGACACAGGCGTGTACGTGTGCACAAATGCGCATGTGCACACACAAGTGCACACACACACACAAACACACACAAGCATGCGCGCGCACACACAGACACAGACACACAGACACAGACACACACAAGCATACGCACACACACAAGCATACGCACACACACAAGCATACGCACACACACACACAAGCTCTCACTTACTTGAGGGAGGAGCCCGCAATGTCGAGTTCGATGTGGAGGCAGGAGCGGTCGTCATCGTCGTACAGTTCCCGACGCTCGCGCACCTGCGCAACAAAGGGGTTCTTCTGCGTAAAGGGGCGCTTCTGCTTGGTAAATGACCCAAAAAAGTGTGGCTCGCCCGTGAAGATTTTGTCCTTGTTGATGAGGTCGGGCCTGAGCTCGTACTGGCGGAAGCTAATCTCGCTGTCTGTCGGGTCCTTGCCAAAGAGGGCGCACACCTCGGGCCACAGCTGCTCCTTCCAGTTGACAAAGTCTTCCTCCATGTTGGCGTCGTCGTCGCCGAGGCCAAGGTCAGTGATGCGCTGCCCGCCGAGCTTGTCCAGCATCTTGTCCACAAACATGCCCATGGCGTTGAAGTGGTCGTACGTCTTGTTGCCCAGCCCAAACACGCCAAACTTGAGGCCCGTCAGGTCAAAGTCGTCGCCGCTCTCCTCCTTGTCCTTGAGGAAGTTGTAAAACTCCAGCGCGTTGTCCGTGGGCTCGCCCTCGCCGTACGTGGCCACGCAAAAGAGGAGCACCGTGTTCTCCTGCTCCTTGGCCACGGTCTGCAGGCACTCCATGTCGTAGTCCTGGATGTCCGCCACCAGCGGGGTGATGCCAAACCGCTTGGCCTCGCGCGCCAGCCGCAGCGAGAAGTCCTCCGCGGTGCCCGTCTGCGAGCCATAGAAGATGGCCACCTGCGCCCCCGTGGCCTTGAGCTTGGCCAGGAAGTCGCTGTCGTCGATGCCGCTCGGGCTCTGTGGGATGCCCACGCTCATGGCACCGCCGCCGCTGCCGTTGGCTGCGCCGGAAGGGCCACCCATGGTCACGGTCGAGGCACGCTTGCTGTGCTGCGCGTCTTCGCTCAGGAACTTGGTGTACACAAAGTACGCGACGGCCACAGCCGCGCCCGCTAGCACGGCCATGTCAAGGCTATCCAGCTCCATGGCTCTTGTTGCTGCGTGCATCGTGAACGTGTGAGTGTGAGCGAGTGTGCGTGTGTGTGTGTACGAGGGAGAGTGTAAGTGTGTGTGAGCGAGTGAGCGTGCGTGAGTGTGTGTGTGCGTGTGTCAGAGACGAGAGGCTTGTGTGCTTGTGTGAGAGTGATGTCGTCTGCGTGGAAAATGATGGCTGTGTCAGGGGACAGCAGCAGCAAAAACGTTGTGGTGCGGATGGGGCTTCTTGTGTTGCCACGATGCAACCTCCATTGTTGCACCAAACTGAACACGGACGAAACATGTGGTAACGCTCGCCTCTCACCTTGTGTGTGTGTGTGTGTGTGCGCGGTTGATGCTCGGCCGGGATGCTGATGAAGGGCGTCGTGTGTGTTGTGCAAGATGGAGAAAGGGGGTTCGAGGAGTGAGAGAGACAGAGAGAGAGACCAGGCGTTGTTGGGGGGGAGTGTGATGGCTGCTCGTTGTTGATTGGCGTTGTGGTGGTTGTGGTGGTGTGTGCTTGGACACGCAACGTTCCACGTGTGGGTGTGTGTGCTTCTTGAATGCGCTTTGTGTGCGGTGATGCAAGGTACGGGCCCAAGTGCACAAGTAGCCAAAAAACAATTTTAATTTTGCATCACGCCAAAACTGTGCAGTTTATGGTGTCGGTAACGCAAGGCGGAGATGGCTGCCCTCTTCTGCTGCTTGCATGCATCGTGGAACGCCTGAACGAGGTGGTGGTGGAGTTGGGAAGATACACACACACACACACACACACGCACACGCACATGGCATGCAGGGAGCACTGGTGACATAAAGGGGTTGAACAAGAAGGGTCCAGGAAAGTGTTGCCTCCTGTAATGTAACGAAACGACGGCGGACGGAGAAAGAACTCAAGAAGGAAGGAAGACTCAGCGGAGGATTGGAGGAGATTGGGAGGTGGGGCAAGGTAAACGAACAAAAGGTGCACACACAAACACAGACACAGACACACACACACACACACACACACACACACACACACACTCAAACAGACACACACACACACTCAAACACACACAAACAATCGGACATGCAATGTTTCCCTCAGTGAACCAGCGCTCACGCCATGCCGCCATAGACAGAGCTGTCACAGTCTGGGTTCAAGAGCGGGCAGTAGCGGCAAAAGTCCTGGACACACATGTGCTTGCGCTCGTTGTACACCTGGTCCACACAGCACTCGATAAAGCCGGAGAATGCCGGATACAGCCTGTTGCCGCAGCAGGCAACGTTCAGCTCCGTGTTCACGTAGTCAGTGCCACAGCACACGTGGTTGTCCCGCTCCGTGTAGACGGCATATGAGCCGCTGTTCGAGTTACCGCAGCACACCTGCGTCGTCGTGTTGTACGTCTGGTCACCGCAGCACGCAGCTGTGGCCGTGTCGGTCACAGCCACGACCCCGCTACTGCAGCAGATGCTGGTGGTTGGATCGTAAATCTCAGAGCCGGTCGGCGTCTCGCAGCAAGCCAGCGTCTCGTTGAACGGATCATAGGTGCGGAACGCTGTGCGGCAGCACAGGCGGGCAGTGCCAGCCGCCGGCGAAGCCAAAACGTTGCCGGCACAGCACTGCTGCGAGGTTGTGTTGTACAGCTGGTTTTCGCCAGTCACCAGGTTGTGGCAGCAAGCAAACTCTTGGTCAAACGTGGAGAGCGTCGTGCCGTCCGCACAGCACACGCTGACGAGGGAGTCGTACGTCTGCACGCCGCGGCAGCAGCGCACCGGATCAAAGGGCGACTCGGGGACAATCGGGTTGCCGCCACAGCACTGGTCATCCGGCACCCACTCCGTGCCGCAGCAGCGGTATGGCTCGGCGTTGGGCAGGTTCCGGTTGTGCACGACGCCGTTGCAGCAGGCTTGCTCCGGCGGGTAAAACACGGCGTTGCCGCACGGCAGCGCGCCGTTGGCCTCGTACAGGCGGTACGTACACTGCGCGTTCTGCGCGCTCGCCAGTCCCGACGAGATCAGCACCAGCGCCACCACCAGTCCAAGGCCATAAACGGCGGCAGCAGAACAAGACCCAACAAAACGCGCCATTGTCGTCGTCGTCGTCGTCGTCGTCGTCGTTGTTCTTGTACTCTTCTAGGCGTTCTGGCTCAAGTGTTGCCTTGAAAGAGAGGGAGGAAGGAAACAATGTGAGAGACTGAGAGCAATACAGTCAAGAAAGCGAGACAAGTCTTTTGTGTGAAGAGCTAAATGCGCCTCAACTCTGCGTGCGTGTGCGTGTGCTGTCGATCGGCTTGCTTGCTTACTTGCTTGTATTGGTTGCAGTGGCCACAAAATGGCTGCCAGGAAGGGGGTGTGGCACCATCGAAAATTGACGGAAATTGCCCCAGAAATTACATGCAGGCATTTTATGCTGTTCTTTACGAGTGGTGGTGGCAGTCGTTGTGCTGCTTGCGTGCAAACGCATGATGTGATGACACTCGCATCAAGCTCGCATCAAGCAGGCAAGGCAAGCACATTGATGGAGGAGGGGGAGGGGAAGTTGATGCAGGGGTAAGGACACTCAGTGCAAGCAGGAGTGCAGTTGTTGCTGCTGCTTTTTACTTGGTGGCCATGCGGGTGTATGTGCGCGAGACCTCTGCTGCCTCCACCACGTTTGGTCGAGCGCCACGCACACGCGCATCCCCAACCGGTACACCACGCCTGCACAATAAAATATGTGCACGTGAGCGTGCGTGAGCGTGCGTGAGCGTGCGTGAGCTGCGGCGGGAGAACCACGAGCCCCTGAAACACCGAAAGACAACATGCACCACAGCAAAGGCGAGGGCGAAAAGGCACTCATGCACTGCATGCATGCAAGCAAGCAAGCGCGTACAGTGGAGCGCTGGTCTTGTTGTTGACGATGAGCAGGGTGTTGTTTGCATCCAGAACTTCCTCGTTGACAGAAATGCCTGAAATGATTTGGAGTGCGAGGGGGCGGGGGAGTAGGGGAAGTAGGGGAAGTAGCACAAAAGAATACAGTGCAAAAGTGCAAAGGGAGTGAGTGAGTGCGCATGGGGAGTTGTGTGTGTGTGGCATTGCGTGCATCATGCACATCCCGTGTGGTGAAGAAGTCACCACATGTTCACACACACGCACACACGCACACACACACACACACACACACACAACCACACACACACACAACCACACACACAGAACACAACCACACACACAAAACAAAACGAAACAAAACAAAATGTGTGCTCGTCCTGCTCACCGTCGAGGTATTGCTTGAGAATGGTCCGAAGCTCCACGTTCTCCTCCTCCAACTGCGACACCTCCCGCTCAAACGCAAATCTGTCAAGCAGCACCTGCAGCAGTGGGAATTGGATACAGGAGGTTGACGGGTTGGTCGTGAGCGGGAGTGTGGGTATCAACGGTGAGCGGGGAGAAGAGAACACGACAAGGATGTCTTGCACGGTCACGGTACAACACACACGCTTGTACACGCCACGCCAATCACGTGTACGTACACCGACACATTCTGCGCACACAAGCACGCACATCATGCACACGCATGGCACCTTGTTGTATCGCTTCCAGAAGTGGTGGA